ATATATTATTGTTTCATATTATTGAGTTATGAGTAGACTCAGATGACTTTATGGTGTGACTGGGGAAGGTTGTAACACTAAAGATCATCCGAGTACAAATATGAAAATTTCCTTTAATTAAAGTACCAATCTACGGATTGGGCCAAACAATAATAAAAAAAATGAAACCATCTCGAGATTAATAAAATTGTTAAATTTCGAGAAAAAAAGTCTAAATAAAATTTTGAGAATAAACTCGTTAAATTACGATAAAAAAAAGTCATTACATTTCGAGAAAAACGTGGTAAAATTCCAAGAAAAAAGTCTAAATAAAATGTTGAGATAAACTCGTTAAATTTAAAGAAAAAAAAAACTCGGTAAATTTCGAGAAAAAATTCGAAATTAAATGTTGAGAATAAACTTGTTAAATTACGAGACTTTTTTCTCGAAACTTAATGACTTTTTTCTCGTAATTTAACGAGTTTATTCTCAAAGTTTTATTTCAACTTTTTCCTAAAAATTTAACGAGTTTTCTCTCGAAATTTTATGACTTTTTTCTCTTAATTAAATGAGTTTATTCTCATATTAATATCATATTATAATGACTTTAATCTCGAGATGATTTCATTTTTTTATTAGTGCTTGGCCCTAATCCTCTTCCGTACCAATCTAACCTATTGTTTAATTATTATTTTTTTTAAATAAATCTCAACATTGTTTTTTTAAATTAATTATTTATATAAGATATGAAATATCTTAAGAAGCTAAATAATTACTGTATCTTATTTAATATCTTAAATAGGAAATAATAATAAACAGGAAACATATTTTTGTTTGTCACCATTTACAAACCGCTAGACGAATTGCAACAAAATAGTGAAGGTCTCAATGCATGTTTTTAAAACCGAACTACTTCATTTGACAGTGTGTCACTTTGCGTCTCACAGCATTGGTTGTACATGCCAAAGAAATACAACTCTGTGCAATGCTGTCTAACACATGTGACCAATTATTAAAAATCATTGCAGACAGAAGTCAAGAATGTGTCTTCTGTGTGTCTTCACAAAAGCGCAACACATACTCATTCATGCAGATGAAGATAAATACACAAACTAAAAAAAGTGCAGTTACTAGAGTCTGCAAACACACACACACACACACACACACACACACACACACACACACACACACACACACACACGCACACGCACACGCGCACACGCACACGCACACGCACACGCACACACGCGCGCGTGCAAAACTCCGCATTTGAACAGTCAATAGCAAATACTTAAACTAGTAACAAAACATACTTACAGTCGCTGATGCACACACGCACACACACAAACAGTGCAGTGCAGTGCAGTTCAGTGTTTTCACCTGTTTGGCGCTGCGTTCAAACACCACATACTGCTGACACTGATCCAGACGCCGCTTCTTCATGGTCCAGAAATGCAGAACTCTGTTTTCTCTCTGTAGCAGTTCATTCAGGATGGCTGTACAAACACAACACAACACACACGACAAATGATTAACATGAATAAATGAATGACTGGATAAATCAAGAATTAAGAATTCTAAGCTAAAAAATAAAGATAATATGAAAAGATGGACACATATTTATCAGATTGTGACATAATCAGCTTTGAAGCTCTGACCTTTGACCTGTTGCTCGGGGCCGCGGGGGTTGCTGGATGATCCCTGAGCGCTGACATTATTCCGATGGATGTATTTCAGAAAAACCTCAGCATTTCGCCTGGCCAGAGTACATGCCTGAGGAACACAGCAGACTTTACAGATCCAAAACTAGAGCCTCACATACACACAGTCCAATGCCTGAGCTGGATTTATTTCTTAAAGATCTAAATTAGAGATCCTCGGATCTAAATGTTCTTGATATTAATTTTGCATAAAGATACAAATTGTCCCTGCTCTTCTGTAAGCTCTGTTGAAAAACCAGCATATGCTGGTTAGGTATGTTTTAAAGCATGGCTGCTGGTTTGAGCTGGTTTAAGCTGGTCCTAAGCAACTAGCTCCTGCTCAGGACCAGCTTAGGACCATTCACATGACCAGCTTATAACCAGCTCAAACCAGCAGCTATGCTTCAAAACACACCTAACCAGCATATGCTGGATGTTTCAACAGGAGGATGCAGCAGACTCTTTTGTGATTGTTATTATGACGTTGGTAACTTTGTGCTGACTGATACGGATAGAGAGTTTGAGAGATCAGTTCAGTTCAGTGGTGACCTTGAGAAAAGCCTCTTTCTGCTCCAGGTGTTTGCTGATGAGCGGCAGCACATGATCCATCTCTGCTGAAGATCCCAGTTTATCATGAGCTCCACACCAGTCCTCATCTCTGCGGTACTCCTGCTCCAGACTCTCCAGCACGCTGCACACCTGTGAATAAGCCATTTGCATGACATTTAGCATGACGCAGGGCTCTGGAACTAGCTGTCACTAGCGTGTCCCTAGCTGGTTAGATATTATGGATATAAATAATTTAATTATATAATTTAGTGTATTTACTGTATATTTAATTATTTTATTTAAAATTGCATCATTATTTTAAATAATATCATTTAAAATTTTAGGTTGAACTTTATTTTAAGGTGTCCTTGTTACAGTGTAATTATATATTTAAGTGCTGAGAAATATTAATTAACTACATGTACTTACTGTATGGTTAGGGTTTGGCTTAGGGTTACTTGCATGCAATTATGCATAATTAAGTGTTATGATAATAGTAAGTACATGTAACATGTGTAACAAGGACACCTTAAAATAAAGTGTTACCAAAATTTAAGTTGTATCTTTTATAATAAAATTATGAAATTATTTTCCAGCATGGTTCTTGCTCAATGGAAGAGTTTTTGAACCATCAAGTGTCCCCTTGAAGAAGACCACTTTGCATCTCATAATCAACATTTATTTGCTAGCAAAATGTGAAAATAAGTACACTTTAGCATACTTTTAAAAAGAGTACTTAGTATGAAATAATATACTTCAAAGGAATATAATTAAGTACAAACTGAATGTAAAGTTTTTGGACACTTAGGGCCAATTTTACTAACAGCTTGCGGCAGCGAAAACCGTCTTTTGGCGTTAAAATAGTACTGTCAGGTTTTACTAAAGACGCACAGTGAAGAATTAGCGCTGAAAAGGCATGGACCCAGTCATTTTTGCACCTGACCTTATTGAATATGCATTTCTAGGAGTTTCCCTTTCAGATGCAAAAGTTATGGGAGGAAAGTATTCAAATGAATCACGCAACACGTTTTACTAACATTTGCACTCATCAAATTACTGGTATTTGCGCCATTATTTAACGCCCCAAAAAAGCATGTCTTAAACTATTTTGCGCTTGAAATGGCTGCAATCAATTATTGTTGTTAAGAGGAGGCACCGCAGAGAACAGAGAGTGCGTGGTAGAAGGGAGGGGATTTTTTCACAAGTATTAGTTTATTTAGAAAGCGAGAAGAACACATTATCCAAACATATCATTTGCCAAGCCATGTTATTTTTTATTTGCTTCAGGAAATAAAAGACGACTTGGAACCCTCAACTAGGAGTCACGCAATACCAGCTCTATCAAAACTGTTGCAACCTTTCATTTTTTGGCCTCCGGTTCTTTTCAACGTACTGTGGCTTATTTATTTCTTTGTTGTTTATTCGCAGCTACGCTAATTTGCACTGTGCTTGGTATATTTTGTTGGTCGATATGTAAATGAGATGTTGAGTCTGTGTTGTTAGTAAATCACCCGCAAAAATTTCCACGTCCATCTGCGCTCTTTTGGAATTGCGCTCTCACGCTAATTTGCCCTGTTTAGTAAAACTGGCCCTTAATTGCATGTTATTTACAATTAAATTAAAATGTATTATAGCAAAAATTTATGTTAAATGGAATAAGTTAAACTTGACTGAAATGGCCACTTTAGTGGACCCACTTTAGTAGGACTTCAGTGTATCTACATTCTATAATTGCATAATTGCATTGTCTTTCGAGAATGATTAAAGGCCAAAAGGTATGAATAATCATTTAAAATGCATAAAGCTAAAATAATCTTGTCATGATTCAGCTACTGCGGAGGAACGAGGAGACACAGGAGTAAACTCAAAAACACAGTCTTTAATCTTTTGATTCGGGGAAACACAGGGCAGGCAGACACACACGTAGCACATGGACGAATAATACCGGACACGGGACACGGAAAGACATGGGGCTTAAATAATCAGAACATAACTAGGAGATGAACAGGACACATCTGGAATCAAATCAACACAATAAGGACAGGAACAGGAAGAACCAAATATGGGCCTAAGGAAACACAAGGGAAAACCAGGACATGGAGCATGTGGGGAACAAAACACAAGACATGGGAACACAGTCTGACATTACTCCCCCCTCCCGGAAGGCGCGTCCTCGCGCCTCATAACATCCAACACTATTCGCTAACAAAGGCCAGCAAAGGTTTTGTCTGCCATTTCAAAGATGTAACATGTGTAACAAGGACACCTTAAAATAAAGTGTTACCAAAATTTAAGTTGTATCTTTTATAATAAAATTATGAAATTATTTTCCAGCATGGTTCTTGCTCAATGGAAGAGTTTTTGAACCATCAAGTGTCCCCTTGAAGAAGACCACTTTGCATCTCATAATCAACATTTATTTGCTAGCAAAATGTGAAAATAAGTACACTTTAGCATACGTATTAGTTTATTTAGAAAGCGAGAAGAACACATTATCCAAACATATCATTTGCCAAGCCACAGTGAAGAATTAGCGCTGAAAAGGCATGGACCCAGTCATTTTTGCACCTGACCTTATTGAATATGCATTTCTAGGAGTTTCCCTTTCAGATGCAAAAGTTATGGGAGGAAAGTATTCAAATGAATCACGCAACACGTTTTACTAACATTTGCACTCATCAAATTACTGGTATTTGCGCCATTATTTAACGCCCCAAAAAAGCATGTCTTAAACTATTTTGCGCTTGAAATGGCTGCAATCAATTATTGTTGTTAAGAGGAGGCACCGCAGAGAACAGAGAGTGCGTGGTAGAAGGGAGGGGATTTTTTCACAAGTATTAGTTTATTTAGAAAGCGAGAAGAACACATTATCCAAACATATCATTTGCCAAGCCATGTTATTTTTTATTTGCTTCAGGAAATAAAAGACGACTTGGAACCCTCAACTAGGAGTCACGCAATACCAGCTCTATCAAAACTTCTAGCAAACCTTAATTTTTTGGCCTCCGGTTCTTTTCAACGTACTGTGGCTTATTTATTTCTTTGTTGTTTATTCGCAGCTACGCTAATTTGCACTGTGCTTGGTATATTTTGTTGGTCGATATGTAAATGAGATGTTGAGTCTGTGTTGTTAGTAAATCACCCGCAAAAATTTCCACGTCCATCTGCGCTCTTTTGGAATTGCGCTCTCATGCTAATTTGCCCTGTTTAGTAAAACTGGCCCTTAATTGCATGTTATTTACAATTAAATTAAAATGTATTATAGCAAAAATTTATGTTAAATGGAATAAGTTAAACTTGACTGAAATGGCCACTTTAGTGGACCCACTTTAGTAGGACTTCAGTGTATCTACATTCTATAATTGCATAATTGCATTGTCTTTCGAGAATGATTAAAGGCCAAAAGGTATGAATAATCATTTAAAATGCATAAAGCTAAAATAATCTTGTCATGATTCAGCTACTGCGGAGGAACGAGGAGACACAGGAGTAAACTCAAAAACACAGTCTTTAATCTTTTGATTCGGGGAAACACAGGGCAGGCAGACACACACGTAGCACATGGACGAATAATACCGGACACGGGACACGGAAAGACATGGGGCTTAAATAATCAGAACATAACTAGGAGATGAACAGGACACATCTGGAATCAAATCAACACAATAAGGACAGGAACAGGAAGAACCAAATATGGGCCTAAGGAAACACAAGGGAAAACCAGGACATGGAGCATGTGGGGAACAAAACACAAGACATGGGAACACAGTCTGACATTACTCCCCCCTCCCGGAAGGCGCGTCCTCGCGCCTCATAACATCCAACACTATTCGCTAACAAAGGCCAGCAAAGGTTTTGTCTGCCATTTCAAAGATTGCAACTATGAGTGCTTTGAGTGGCCAACAGCTAGCACCGACCACAACAAGTTATTTTGTTGGCCGTGTTTACTTTTTAATGCGAGTAAAGGGACATGGAATGACAGATGCACAGACTTTATTTACAAGTGGCAGGTGAGTGCTTTATTATTTGATAAGTATTGTATCATGCACATTGTTATGGAGGTGTACATGGTGCGTTGATAATACTGTGGTGTGTGTGTCCAGCATTTGTACAGATTTGCTGCTGTGGGCGCGTTGTCATTTTAGAGTGACCCGTGTATTGGCTTTCAATCAGCTGTCATTGCTGTTGAGAGCCTGTGTGCGGCCTAATATACGCATTATATGCATATGGCTGTGTTAGCTGTAACAGAGATGTGTAAGATGTATGTAGTTTACAGTTGCTTACTGAAGGCCCTGACTGAAACCCCACGGTACACCACTGACAATACCGGACGCAGGACATGGAAAGACACAGGGCTTAAATAATCAGAACATAACGAGGAGATGAACAGGACACATCTGGAGTCAAATCAACACAATAAGGACAGGAACAGGAATAACCAAATATGGGCCTAAGGAAACACAAGGGAAAACCAGGACATGGAGCATGTGGGGAACAAAACACAAGACACGGGAACACAGTCTGACAAATCTATTGTGACTAAACTTGCATACCATGTATTTAAATATACTTACATGACATACTTACATTACTTATATTGCATATTATGTAATGATAATGATTAAGATTTACAGTGGTGGCCAAAATTATTAGAACACTAGTATTTTCACCAGCTAAAAAATGGTTTTAAGTCAGTTATTTCTTTATTTTGCTGTAGTGTGTCAGTAGCAAATTTATATTTCATTTTGCCATTGATTGTAATAATCCAGTGAGATTTTTGTCTGACAGCAGTCAGTGCTGCACACAGAGATCTGATCTGATCATCATCAGTCTGTCTGGAATGACATGAAGAAACGAACTGAGACAGACTAAATCCAGAAGTACTGTGGCAATGTCTCCAAGATGTTTCAAGAAACATACCTGCAAAGCTACAGTACTGTTAAAAGTTTAAGTTAAAAAGCTGTAAAATGAGGATGCTCTCAAAAAATAATGTCATAAATAGATTTTCTTTATCAATTAATTTCTATTAACTAAATCAAATCAATATTTGGTGTGAGCATCCTTTGCGTTTAAAGCAGCTTTTGCCCTCAGGGAGCTTTGCAGGTAGGTCTCTTGAAGCGTCTTGGAGATGTTGCCACAGTTCTTCTGGATATTTCCTACTGACACACTACAGCAAAATATAGAAATAACTGACTTAAAACCATTTTTTTAGCTGGTGAAAATACTAGTGTTCTAATAATTTTGGCCACCACTGTATATTAAAAATAAAATATACTGAATTTAAATATAATATCAAATAATATTCAACAGTTAAAATTGTAATCAAGTACTTTACACGTGCTTTAGTTTGCAGTTAGTTGGAAGTACACTACAAGTGCGCATTCAACACAATAAAGCACACACTTTTTCACATTGGTAATGTGCCACTGAAACTAATCTTGGGACACCTGGCTGTCTTTTGTAGTACTGTAAGTCTTCTAGGGTTGTATCAGCCATGGTGAAGTGATGCAGAAGCCAGGAGGATTAGCTGATATGTGTGTGTGTTTCTCATCACCTGTTCTGATGTCTTGTAGAAGGCCACAGAGGCGTTGACCAGCTTGAGTCTGTCCTCCATCTTCAGCATGAGCTGCTGCCAGTGTACTGCCACCTTCTCAGCACAGCTGCGGATGGCCTCAGGGTCGAAGTGTCCGGCCTGTAACATGATCTCGGCCTTCTGCTGCACCTGCAGTGCGCTCTGATGGGTCTTCTGAAGAGAGTTGGCGTGGAACAAAGACTACAGGGAGAGAAGAGAGAGAGAGAACAGCAAGTTAAATATACCTTAGCCTGGAGGTCGACAGCAAAATCAACAAACAGTAACTATGGCACTAACCAAGCCACTATCATACAGTGGTGGACCGTAATGAAGCATTTTTGCATACATTCAGATAAAGCATCTGTACACTCTAAAAAATGCTGGGTTAAATACAACCCAGCGCTGGGTAAAATATGGACAAACCCAGTGATTGGGTTGTTTTGACCCAACGGTTGGGTTAAACATTTAACCCAACTGTTGGTTGAAAACAACCCAATCGCTGGGTTTGTCCATATTTAACCCGTACTTTAAAAAATGCTGGGTTAAATATGGCCCAGTGCTGGGTTAAAAAAGGGCAGATCCAGTTATTGGGTTGTTTTGACCCAGCGCTTGGGTTAAATGTTTACCGCAACCTTCTGGGTAGAAACCCAACCGCTGGGTCAAAACAACCCAATCGCTGGGTCCTTTTTTAACCCAGCATTTTTTAGAGTGTAATTTATCAGGGTTTTGTTTTTTTTGGATTGTGTAACTTTTACTTTTACAAAACAAAATATTGTACTTTTCACTGCATTACATTTACCGTTTTTTTTTTTTTTTTTATCATTTTGTCACCAATTTCAGAACCTTGATGTCATTTTTCAAAACTCTAGACACAAAAGTCAAAACAGTCATTATTTGGACAGGCTGTCCAATGTTCAAAACTTTGCATTTTGCATAGATGTGAATCTTTAAAGAAGCCTTGCATTTGCAGAATTATTGGTTCAAATAACTAATTTATCATGACATATCATAGAAACATTACTTTAGATCACCCACACACAACTCTACAATACACAATACAATACACTCTAAAAAATGCTGGGTTATTTTTTTAACCCAAATGCTGGGTTCAGCCAGTGGGGTCATTTTATTGGGTTATTTTTAATATTTTTACCCAGCTGCTGGGTAGTTTTTCTGTAACTAAGTTGCTGGGACATTTTTAACGCTGGGTTATTTTTTTCTAGCCAACCGCTGGGTTGAGCCTGTCTCCGACGAAACAACCCAGCTGCTGAGTTACAGTCAGATCACGGGCTTTTTGAGTCCTAGGAGAGAGCGGTTCTCAGTGCCACCAATTTGGTGCACTTCTTCAGCGAAATAAAGGTTTGTATACATTTTATTTCGTTTATTAAGTCTTTACTGTGCTGTATATTATATTATTTTACGCAACGCAACATAAGGACGAGATGTCAGTGTTTCAGCAGCGGTCACTTCGCACGATGAAAACGCCTTTTGTCTTGCATAACATAAATGTATTTTATTCGTTATAATACTGAGTTTAATTTAATTTGATGTTAAAATATGTTCCCTTTCATGGGAACTTCGAACTGCGTCCTCTAGGGGTCGCTATGGGGAACGCCTCGTCGTGACCCGTGTCTGAAGCATACATTGAAAAACACCAACTCGTTGGCCGGTGACAGCCATGACGTCACTACCGGTGCGACTATAGTATAGATGGAAACGCCTTTTGCCTTGCATAACAAATGGGATTTTTTTCATTACAATACTGAGTTTAATTTAATTTGATGTTAAAATGTTCTCTAATCTCTGTTTGTTTATGGGCAGGTTTTGGAGTCAGTCACGGCATCTCTCAGCTATGAGTGAAACGCGAGGCCGCGGTCTGAAGTTCGCAGTTCCCCGGCGAACAGCAGCCCTTCACCGGCTCAGAGAATTAGCACTATTTCAGTAAAAGGGATTACAGAGAACGTTTGAATACACTTTAATTAAAATGTTACTTTTTTATTTCTAAAATGCATGTTGAACGAGTTTAAATGTATATAATATTGTAAACTATGCTGTATTTACCCAAATAAATTCAATTTGTCTTTTGTCCCTGCAACATAAGGACGAGATGTCAGTCAGCTGCGTCAGAAGCGGTCGTTTTGCACGATGGAAACGCCTTTTGCCTTGCATAACAAATGGGATTTTTTTCATTACAATACTGAGTTTAATTTAATTTGATGTTAAAATGTTCTCTAATCTCTGTTTGTTTATGGGCAGGTTTTGGAGTCAGTCACGGCATCTCTCAGCTATGAGTGAAACGCGAGGCCGCGGTCTGAAGTTCGCAGTTCCCCGGCGAACAGCAGCCCTTCACCGGCTCAATTTCATCGACGCACCGCCACGAGAATTAGCGCTGTTTCGGTAAAAAGCGATTATAGAGAACGGTTGAATACACTTAAATTAAAATGCTACTTTTAAATGTTACATTTTGTATAAAATGCATGTTGAACGAGTTTAAATATATATAACATTGTAAACTATGCTGTATTCACCCAAATAAATAAAATTTGTCTTGTATTTCGTCCATGTGTTCTTGCTTAATAATAAATGTTCATCTTTTGTTTATTGCTGTTGCCTCTAGTAATTCTGTGTGATTTTTTTTTTCAGCCCATTTTAAGGCAACGATATTATAATTTTTAAACAATAGTTGACAAATAAAATAACCTAGCATGTTGGGTAAAAACGTTTAACCCAACCAGCTGGGTCAAAATAACCCAGCATGTGTTCTGTCCAATATTTA